CTTGTTTCAGTCACCAGTCCCACATTATAACCCATACTTCTGACCAAACAGCTGTAAATCGGGTTCTCACAACTCCCTCCTTGTGTTGGAAACACTTTACTTAGGCTTACTAGACTATTACAAAGGATATAAATGAGCAACCAAACGAAAAGGCACATAGGGTAAGGTCCAGAAGCATTCTAAGTATAGTAGCTTCTGTCCTGTGAAGTTGGGGTGTAACACTCTTCCTGAAGCTCTCTGAAGCCCATCATTTAGAGGTTTTTAAGGAGGTCTCATTTCATATGCATGGCTGATTAAAACATCAGCTACTGGCAACTGAACTCAATCTCCAGTCGTTCTCTCCACACACAGAGGTGGGGCTGAAAGTTCCAACGCTTTAATCACATGGTTCATTTTTCTGGCAACCAGCCCCTATCCTGAATTTATCTAGGGGCCCATTAAAAGTCTCTTTATTAGCATAAACTGAGATATAATTGAAAGAAACTTATTATAAATACCAAAAGATGTTCCTATCATCTCTATTATTCAAGAAATTCCAAGAGTCTTAGAAGTTCTGGGCCAAAAACCTGAGAGAAAGTCCAAACACGTATTTCTTATACTTTACCCAGCAATTCAACTCCCAGGTGTATACACAAGAGAAATGAAAAACATGCCAACATAAAAACTTGAACATAAATATTCACATTGGCATTAATTCATAATAGCCAAAAAGGAAAAACAACTTATATGTTTATCAACAGATGAATGGATAAATAAAATGTGGTATTATCCAGACAATGGAGTAGTATGCAGCAATAAAAAGAAATGAATGAACTTTAAAAACATGCTAAGTGAAGGAAGTCGGTCACAAAGTATCATATTTATGATTTCATTTATAAAGAATACCCAGAATAGGCAAATCAACGCCAACAGAAAGTAGATTAATGGTTGCCATTGGGGGCAGAGTGCCAGCGGGTGAGTAGGACTGCTGATGGGTAAGAGGTTTCTTTTTCTGGGATAACGAAAATATCCTAAAATTGACTGTAGTGATGGCTACATAATTTTGCGAATATACAGATGATTCCCAACTTAGGATGATTCAACCCAATGATTTTTCAACTTTACGATGATACCCACACAACCATTCTGTTTTTCATTTTCAGTATAGTATTCAATAAATTGCATGAAATATCCAGCACTTTATTACAAAATATGCTTTGTGTTAGATGGTTCTGCCCAACTATAGACTAATGTAAGTGTTCTGAGCACATTTAAGGTAGGCTAGGCTAAGTTATGATGTTTGGTAGGTAAGGCGCATTTAATGCATTTTTTACATAGGATATTTTCAACATACGATGAGTTTATCAGGACATAAACCCATAAGTTGAAGAGCATCTGTACTAAAAACCAACTGTATAATTTAAAAAGGTGAATTTTATGGGTTTATGAATTATATTTCAATAATGCTGCTATTTTTTAAAAACTATTCCAGTCTTTGCCATGCTAAAAATCCCTCCCTGAACCCTTTATCACTCTCTGCTACCATGTCTTTCTATTCTTTTCCTCACAGCTAAGGTTTATTTTATTCTTGAAATAATCTACATATGCTTTTACACTCTCTGACCTCCCATTAACTCAACTCTTCTTCCCAAACCATTCTACCAAAACTGGCTTTCAGCTCTCATGTAGTTGACAAATTTGATAGTTTAGTTATCACATTCAATAGACTCCTAATAATCCTTGTTTTACTCAACTTCTCAAAGCATTTGAAGTATGGCTTTTATTTTATCTTTTTAATTAATTTTTATTCTTTCTGAAGAGTTAGTTGTAAAGTAGCTTCCTTTAAAATTTATCCCATTTGGATGTCTATGACATTTTCTCATGATTTCTCTACATCTTTAAATAGTTGGGAATTTCTTTTTCCAGCCCTTCTTCCTCTGTCTGGCTTTAAATGTTGTTGTTCTCCAAGGAGTATTTCTAGAACTACTTTATGACAATAACTTCTTATTTTGGTGTTATCTAAATCAATGGCTTCAGTTACCAGTTATAATATAGCCTAATGACTCACACATCAAGACCTCTCTCGCACTCCAAATCCACATACACAATTCCACAGCAGATGATTCCACTGGGATGTTTCACAGATAATGTCCACTCAATATAGTCAAAAGATAAAAAATACTGTTCCTCCCCAAATCTGCTCCTCTTCTTGAATTCCGTCAATACCACTGTACTATTGTTTATTCAATCACCCAAGTTAAAATCCAAGTTAAGTCATCTTATCCTATTATTTCTCCCTCACTTTTCATATCCAAATGTTTCCAAATCCTATAATTCTACTTTCTAAATATTTCTGTTAACCTCCTTCTCTGTACCCCCACTGATACGGCTTTAGTTTAGACCCATTTCACCTCAATTATGAAAACCTCCTAACCAGTTTTTCTGCATTCATTCTTACCTTCTCTCCAAGCCTCCTGCGACCCATACAATTCTAGAATTGTATGGGTTGCAGGAGGCTTGGAGAGAAGGTAAGAATCTTATCGTGTCTCTTTTCTAATTAAAATGCATGAACTCCATTATTGCCTACCTAAAAAGTCCTCAGACTAACATGCAATACTTCTTTATCTGTGCAGCCTTATCTTCTGCTACTTATCACTACACAATGCTACAGCTATAAAAAACAACTTCCATTCTTAAGTGTTCCAAGGGGCAACCTCCTTGGGTCCCCTCCCACAGTGGGAGCTTTTCTGTCCTCTCAATAAATCGTGCTTAAAAAAAAAAAAAAGTGTTCCAAGCTCTTTCTTACCTACATGTCTCTGTCTAACCTTCCCTCTACCTCAAGTTCCTTCCTCCCTCCCTCTAATTTCTCCCTCAGTCAAGACTAAACCTTCTTTAATGTAGTGCCTGACACTCAGCAGAGGGTTAAAAATGGGTTGAGCTGACTTAGGTCTCTCTTCTTTGTCCTATCTCAATGATTCCTATCTGCTTTCCAAAGCTGAGATTACTTTGATGGCCTAGAAGACTATGCATATGATGTGATCTCTGCCTACCTTCCCATTTTGTGTCTTACCACCAGTCTTACCACCACCCTCGACTTGCTAACTTTAGACTCCCACACTTTTGCTCACACTATTCCTTCTACCTAATTGCCCATGCTTTCCAGGCCCATACATGTGTTTTCAGCACTTTCTATACATAATTTTTCTTTACCACTGCCCCCTTCCTCAACCTGTCCTTTTCATCTCTTAAGTAACTGACTACTGCTTCTTTTGTACTACACTACTGCCTCATACTTTCTCCAATTAAAACAACCTTAAAAACACATTGTAGGTGTTGACAGTTCAAATAAGAAAGTGCGAACACCCTGAAGGAAGGGACAACTGCATTATCCATCTTAAGTCCTCTTCACCTGGTCACATTACCTGCCGCATATGAATTCCTGTGTTCTAAATAATCTGCATTTTTCCTTGGTCCTTCTTATATATAATAACATAAGTTTCTATTAGGGATTTTCTTGATTTTTTAATTTTTATTTTTTTCCTTAAAAATGGAATCCTTGTTCAAAGTGATTTTTCTTTCAAAAAAGACTATGCTTTCAGGTTATGTTCTGGACCCAATCTCTCCCTCCCAAGCAAACAAGTGTGCAACTCTAACTGAACAAGTTAAAGTTAACATGCACTTTTTAATATCACATCCATCTTTCTAAATTAGGGGAGAAATCGTAAAGATCTATAACTAGAAATAATATTTTTGAAGAGACAGCAAATCAGGTTGCACGGCATTGTTTCAAAATACTTTGAAGAATTACTTCTCAAAAGCTAGTTAAACTAGCCTACCCCACGTGATCTATGGAATACTCTGAATGAAAAGTAGGAGCCACTCTACTGACCTCCTACCTCCTACCACCAACCACCACAGCTTATGGCAACCACTCATTTTTAGGAAGATATTCGCAAAGGGGGGATCAAATCACCAAGATAACTCTAAAGACGCAAAGCGAGGTTACCTTTCTCATCCACAGTCCCATTTATTCATTTAGAAGGACTTCCTCTGTGAGCCAAAAGTGGGCCTGCTCCTTATCACGACTTAAATATTCGGTGAATGACTGCCAAGTATGATGGAATGCTCCCCAAAGCACTGCAGCAGTAGAGCACGTCCACTAAACAACAAGTCCAGAGAACGCTTTCCTACTAGAGGCCGGACGGTGTGCTAAGTCAATGTCAAAGCACATGCACGCCCAGAACATCTCTAAGATGTTCGTGATCTTCAAGAACTCGAGTAGGCCTCAGACACGCCGCCTGCTCAAGAGGCAGGCTCTGTAATGTTGAACCCCAAACTTGAACCGGCACGATTCACTTCAGGGAAGACCGACGGTGGAGGACTTTGCAAAACCTGTTTCGCTCTCACACGAGTCATTAAAAGAGAAAGCTGACCTCAATCAAGAGCTTTTGCGTACAAGTATCCTCGAAAATGAGTTGTGAAAGAATCTGCAACTCGAAACCGGCCGGTCCACCCCACCGAAACTTGGATTAAGAACCGCGGCACCCAAAGACGCCCGGTGCGCAGCGCCAGCGGCGGGCATCGCCGAGAGCTTCGTCCTCGTCCGCCGCGCGAGCCCGGGAGACGGGTCACCAGGCCGGGCACTCCTCTCCAGCGGCGAGGGCTGCGTCCCTCCCCCTCCGCCCAGGTGCGCCCCAAGAGCTGCCCTGAGGCCTGGAGACTCCGTGGCGGGGAGGGCTCGCCCCCAGCTCTCCTCCGAGAGCCCCAGATAGCGAGCGTGGGTGTCTCTAAGGGAGGCCCTCCGACAGCCAGGGGCAAGAACCCAGGCGAAGACTCCCCGGCAGGACCCACGCCGGGGGTGGCCACGCCCCCGCCTCTCACTCCGAAGCCCCGCGCGGCGAGCGCCGAGCCCCGCGCGGCGCCTGACAGACGCGGGCGCGAGGCCGGCGCCGGAGAGGGCTCTTTGGGCACCCGGGGGACAGCGCCGCGACCCTCGCACGCGACCGCTCCCTGCGACTGACCTGTGCCCGCTGCCGCGCGCCCGCCCGCCCCGCCGCAGCCTCCTCGCGCTCACGCCGCAGCCGCCGCGGCCGCCTCCTGCGCTGCGCCCCAGGCTGGCCTCGGGCGCCCCATTCCCACCCCGCCCAGCTCCGCCTGTTTACAACGATTGGGACGGAACGGGACGAGCCGGACCAGCGCGCACGCGCACTCCCGCCTCCCGCCGCAGCCGGCTTCCCCAGCCCACCTCTCCGCGCTGACGCCCAAGGCCGTCGAGGGCAAAAAGCCCGGCGCCCTCCCGCGGGACACGCTGGGAGACGTAGTTCTCGGAGCCCCGGCGCCCAGTCGGTCCGAGGGCCGCTCCTCAGAGAGCAAACTACAACACCCAGGAAGCACCGCGCCTCCTTCGGTCCCCGGGCTTGAGGGATCCAGGGAGCGCGCGAGAGAACGCGCCCGGTGTTACAGTTCGGCCGGCGCCTGCGCAGTCCCTGGCCTGCGGGACCCAGCGGGACGTGCACCTACCCCAGAGCACGCTGGTGGAGGTAGCGTGGGGTCAGCTCCAGTGGCAGTCTGAAGGAAGGACAGTGCTCTCGTCTTCACGCCGGGACGGCCCGCCTGTTCCCCAGCTACCAAAGTAGAGACCTTTTCTTGTGCCGGTGTGGTTCAGTCGCTCTAACCAGTCCAACCAGCCCGGAGGCCGCCCTGCCTGCGGCTGGGTGGGGCATCTTCCCCGCCTTTGCCTGGGTGGGGCATCTCTCGCTCAGGTGGGAACTCTGTCTCGCGGGCGTTTGGAGAAGGGAAGCGCCGAGGGTCGGTGGGAGGAGACGAATAAAACTCGGTGTCGGGATCATGTACAGAGTTCCTAGAGTGGGTGCTGGCTCCTGCGGGGCGGCGGGATTGCTGGCCCAGCAACCCGCTCTGGCTCAGCATTCACGAAGCAGCACCCCAGGGAAAACTGCTCAGCAGTTTTGAGTTTGCTAGTAGAACTGAATTTTCTCCAGAAGACCTCCACGCGGACTTGAAGAATTGTTCCGCTAATGCATATGGGGGCTGTAAGCCAGGGGTCTTTTGAAATCTTGCTGATTTTATAAAAGTTGGCAGATTAGCAGGAAAAAAGGACTTGGAATAGATGGTCCCTCCCAATCACTTCAGTCCTACGTGTAACACTCTCTTTAGAACATCATTACCGGTTACATTGACTGCTGCAATCCATCTTGCACTGTACTCCCGGGTCAGCTTTCCTGAAATCTGGCAGTCTGTCCCGTGGCCTGTACGTTTCCTACCCAGGAAAGCGGAGCCCCGTTGGCCTCACATTTCAAGGGCCTCCTAAAAGTGGATACTGGGGTGCGTTTTGACTCCTAGAAGAGACTTCCCGTTGCTTCTCTGGCAATAGAACAGTGTCCTCTGACTACTAGGATGAGCGAGTATGTGTGAAAATCACAGTATTCTTTGCCTCTGACAACGCTGATTCTGCCAAGGGATAGGCATTGACCCAAGCTAAACTTTTGCCCTAAATTGTTATGTGGACACGGAAGGGTGTAGGGGGGATTATTACTAAGATAATTGCTGATGGATGTATTTTCTGCAATATCAAGAGACAGGATATGGGGCATTAAGGAGCAGAAAGGAGAAAAAGCAAGCCTGACAAAATGAAAACTAGTTTCATTCTGGAGCCATGATTTGTTCAACTCTTCCTTTTTTTAAAGATACAGCATCTTGTTGTGTCACCTAAGTTGAAATGCTCTGTTGCCCAGGCTGCAATGCAATGGTTTGGGCATAGCTCACTGCAGCCTCCTAACTACAGCGATTCTCCCACCCCAGCCTCCTGAGTAGCTATGACTGCAGGCATCGGCCACCATGTTGGGTTAATTTTAAAAGAATAACATACTTTGTTGACCAGGCTGGTCTGGAACTCCTGGCCTCAAATGATCCTCCCACCTCAGCCTCCCATGGTGCTGGTACTACAGGCATGAGCCACCACACCCAGCCAGCTCTTAGTGCTGTGAGTATGTGAGCCTGAGTGGGTGAGCCAGTTCAAATCAATTCATTCATTCACTTATTATTTAGGGTTAATTTGTGTGGATGTACAGCATATTTGTTGGCTTTCTCCTGCGCATCATTCCCATTTAAACCAGACAGCCTAACTCTCTGACAGCTGAAAGTTTCAGAGAAGGTCATGTAACCCACTCAGAAACATGAGCCCACAAAGACTTGGGCTGAGGCTTCTAGTAAACAGCAGCTTCCTTGCTCTTCTGGTATTGTGTAATTATATAAGGTCTAGAAATGTGGCAATCATTTTGTTCCTATAAGGGGAAAACCTAGACGGACAGGAGTGTAGGGGCAGGGCACCAGTAGAGCCAGAAGAGAAAGTCAGCACTGTCAAATGAGTGCTGGGAGATGGAGAATAACCATGTGTTTAATGGCATCATGAGAGCTAAAGGGTCAAACCTCACCTGTTTGATACTATAGGCTAGCCTATAAACTTTTCAGAATTGTAAGCAAGGCCCACCTAATAGACTATCCAGAATTGAGAGCCACAAATTCAAGGTGTTTGAGTATAACCACTACCCAAATCATTGGCTGACAACTCAGCTGTGCAGATACTGGGGCAACTCCCAAAAAAGTCAGATTAAAAATAAAAATGAGAATTTTTTTTTTAATAGCAAAGATACTAGCAGCCACAGGCTACAGAGAAACAGATTTTAAATCTGACAAAAATCTATACAGATAACAACAACAACAAAAAGAAACAACACTAAGGAAAAGAAAACATCTAGAATCACTACAATATATTACATAAAATATCTAATTTTCAACCCAAAATAGCCGTTCATGCAAAGAAACAGGAAAGTGTTACCCACTCTCAGGTGACACTGAACAAGAAACCAGTAGAAATGGACTCTCAGTGGGCTCAGATATTGAATTCAGAAGCAAACTCATCAAAGGAGCTATTACAATTGTGTTTAAAATTAAAGGATTTGGCCGGGCTCGGTGGATCAGCCTGTCATTTCAGCACTTTGGGAGGCTGAGGTGTGTGGATTGCCTAAGCCCACGGGTTCAAGACCATCCTGGGCAACTTGGCGAGACCTCATCTCTACAATAAATCAAAAAATTAGCCAGGCATGGCAGTGCACGCCTGTAGTTCTGGCTTCTTGGAAGGCTGAGGTGGAAGGATTGCTGGAGGCTAGCAGGTCGATACTGGGGTGGCAGTGAGTGTGCCATGCATTCCAGCCTGGGAGACAGAGTGAGACTCCAACTCAAAAAAAAAAAAAAAAAAAATTAAAGGATTTTTTCCCAAAGAATTAAAGGAAAAAGTACTGAGAATTATTTAACAAATAAAGGAGATCTGTAGGAAAATAGACACTATAACAAAAATACATGAAATTTTTAGAGTTAAAAAGTACAGTAATGGAACTGGAAGTTGTATGAGATGATCTCAGTGAAAAATATGAAGTGGCAGGAAAAAGCATTAGTGTACTTGAAAATAATTCAAGAGAAAGTATCCTGTTCAAAAAACAACAAAATTGATGAAAAAAGAGAGAAATGAGGACACATCCATAAAAGAGAGGATATTTTCAGCAGTCAAGCAGACTCAAGGTTGAGATTGTAGCTGTTAAATAGAAAAAGAAAGAAAAGCAGAAGTGGGACTACTTAAGTATTAATAAGAGAGAGGACACAGTACTTTTTGTATTGGAAATCATCTGTAAAGTTACAGGTGTTATAATTCTTTCCAAATTTAATTAAAGTAAAAATATACGAGAAGTTCAAATAAACCCAAATTAATCACAAAGAAAACAACACCTAGGTATATCATAGTCAAAATGCTGAAAGCCAAGGAAAAAAATAAAATCTTTAAAGTACCAAAAGAAAAATGATTCATCAGTATAGGAGGAAAAACAATATGACATAGAACTGACTTCTCATCTGCAACACTAGAGGTCATTAGGCATTGGAGTGACATATTTAATGTGCTGAGGGGAGGTGTGTGTGTGTGGGGGGGACTGTCAACCAAGAATTCTGTATTCAGTATAACTATCCTTCAAAAATGAAAATGAAATAAAAGCATTCCCAGAAAAACCTGAGAAAATCTATTGCTAGCAAACCTGCCCTCCAAGAAATGTTAAAAGAAGTTCTTCAGGCTGAAAAGATTTGACAAGAGAGGGTCATTCTGATATGCAAGAAGAAATGAAGATGTGGAATTTTTAAAGTATGTGAATAAATATGAAAAGATTATACACATGCACCCGTTTTTCTTCTCAATTTCTTTAAAAACGATTGAAGCAATAATTTTAGGCTATATTGTTGATACTATAATATATATAAATATAAGATGTATGACAGAGCACAAAGAAAGGGGGAGGAAATGGTGCTATGTCAGAGTGAATTTGCTATAGATTACTGAAGTTAATTTGGTATTAGCCTGAAGTAGATTGTGTTAAGTTAAACATACCATTGTCTTAGTCCATTGTGTACTGTTATAACAAAGTACCACAGACTGTGTAATTTATAATGAACAGAAATTTATCGCTCACAGTTTGAGGGGTTGGAAAGTCCAAGATCAAGGTGCCAGCATCAGGCAAGGGCCTTCCTGATGCATTGTTACGTGGCACAGAGCAGAAGGGCAAGAGAGAAAATAAACTGCACTTGGACCTCCATAAACCCTTAGAGGGCCCTGCTTCTTACTGTCATATTGGGGGTTAACCTACAAATTTTGGAGGGAACACAACCATTCAATTCATAGCACATTTTGTATTCCTTAGAAAAGCCAATGAAAAATTAATTCAAAAATATATGAATTAAAATAAATAAATGAGCCGGGCTTGGTGGCTCAGCCTGTAATCCCGCTTTGGGAGGCTGAGGTGAGTGGATTGCCTGAGCCCGCGGGTTCGTGACCCGCCTGGGCAGCGAAACCTCATTTCTACAATAAATCAAAAAGTCAGCCGGGCGTGGTAGTGCATGCCTATAATTCCAGCTACTCGGAAGGCTGAGGCAGAAGGATTGCCGGAGCCCAGCAGGCTGTGGTGGCCGGGAGCGGCCTCTGCACTCCTGTCTGGGCGACAGAGTGAGACTTCAACTCAAAATAAATAAATAAATAAATAAAATAAATAAATAAATGTAAAACTGTATTAAGTAAAAATTTTTTTTGGCCAGACTTGATGGTTCATGCCGGTAATCCTAGCAGAATTTGGGAGGCTGAGGTGGGAAGT